TTTAAGAAGTGCCTGGTATTTTCCCTTTCCTGGCAATTTCTACTTAAATTGTAATCTGTGGGCTCAAGGGCTATATTTATAAACCAAAACTTATGGCACATACTCTTGGAAGTACCAAATGTATACCTTGGGCTAAAACATAAAGACCATCTGGCTATTTAAACTACAATCTTCTTTTTCTTTTTTTTTTTTAGTTTGCTTTAGGATGCATGTTATCACCAGAGAGTTGGTGGGGGTGGGGTGAGAAATCACCCCCAAGCGGAGTTGGCCATGCAACAATCCCTTCTCCATTCTCCACTTTGGGCATATACACACATGCACCCAATGGATTTTTCAAGTTGCTGGGTCCAGGACTCAAACCACAGAGTTGGCTATATGGGATCCGGCCACCTTAACCCCCATGCCACCTGGCTAGTCCCAAAATTACAGCCATTTTTAATGACTCTGATAATCAAGGCGTTAGAAGAATTCAGTCACAGAGTATATATACAAAAAAAGCAATAGTAAAATTGAATTTGACCATATTTTAAAAACAAAGTTCAAGACGAAATCTATGGAGCAGATGAACAGGCTTCAGTGACGCCTGTGGTCACTGCGATTGGAGGACTCTCGCTCCCTGGAGTGCCGGGCTCTTTTATGTCTATGGGATTTATCTCGGCTCCTACTTCTACTTCTGTGACTGCGCCCTTCAGAGTGCCCACTGTGTCGGCTAGAATGTGTGTCGGAGCCTCGCCCTCTGTCCTTTTCCCTGTTCTTTTCTTCTCTTGCCTCCCTCCGGCTTGAGGACTTGTGCTCATGCTTGGGTTTCTCCTTCTTTGGCTCCCTCTCTAGGTTTTCGGCTCCACCACGGCCCATAGTCTTGACCTCAGGAGAGTTGGGGTAGTGTTTCCGCCCCTCCCTGGACTCTGACTTTGGAGCCCTCTCTGAGTTCTTGCTGCTGTGCTTCTTAGAGCCAGAGTCATCCTTTTCCATTGTCATTTTGCTCCTGGGTGATGAAGAAGAAGGCTGCTCTGCATGTGTGTCCCTGTCTGTCTTCTCTTTGTCTTTCTTTTTCTTCTTTTTTTCCTTTTTATCTGGTAGAAAAGGGAGGCAGGAGAAAAAAATCAATAAGAAAAAAGAAAACAAAATAAGGAACTTCCTAAAAAATGTGTTTTTCCTCTGGGCATATTACATCAAACACAGGTATCATAGTTCAATGTTCACATACTAGGAGATGGAGAATGTGCTTAAGGAAACAGCCTTGGCAGCAGTATGAAGCAGTCGGTCTACACTTCCTGGAAAGTGCTTTCCAGAAACCAACTTGGATATCTGTCACCTTTCAGATGTCAAGCTGCTGTTTAAGACAATTTCCACCCTGAATTACATCCATAAAGACCACCAAATACGGTCACATTCTGAAGCACTGGGGATTAGTCAGGAATTGAACATATCAGCTTTGGGGTGACTCAATTCTGCCCACAATAGCCTTCCACTGATACCCTTTTCCCAATTAAAGAATTTTCTTGAGTCTCAGTGTCTTAAATTACCCTTTTCCCAATTAAAGAATTTTCTTGATTGTCAGTGTCTTACCTTTCTTGTGCTTTATTTTGGGTTTGTCATCTTCAGAGCCTTCAGATGAACTCTGTGAGGGGGTGTGAGCCCCACAGCCCTTCTCCTGGAGCACTCTGGTCACATCATCCATTTCTTCTGAGTCCTTAGGAGCCCGATAGTTAGATACATGGTCCACTCGAATAGTTCTTCCTTTGATCTAAGCAAGACAGGCAATGCTTCAGTAAAGACAGCCCTCATGTCATCTGAACCCAAGCTGCACAGAACAATCTGAACCATACTCGTCATCCTCTTGCTAATCTTATTTCTGGGAAAAACACTAAAGCAGATCTGCCCAACTGGTGTGTCACAGCACATATACCTAGACATTCATACACTCAGCCAGGTGAGGCCTGGGGTAGCTGCGGCCACTGGGACAGTTGTATCAGCAGCCTCGTCAGCTTACTCCAGGGGCCATACGTGAACAGAGTACATTCATGTTCTACATTTGCCATGAAGTGAAAAAAGGCTGCAAGGCTGTCCCAGAGCACAAGCATCAAGAAAGACTGTGAGAATTTAGATGCAATATGAATACCCCCAATCTGTAACTGAATTAATTCACAATGAAACATACCTTGGGAATGCCTAGTAAATAGAAGGGATTTCTGAAATGTAGCTACAGGCAACGGCAACATTCTAAACACAGTAATTAGGAGGAGGTAAAGTCAGACCAATAATTGATGGAGAGGGAGGAACCAAGAAAAGACCACTTTCTTTATTCTTAAGCCTTCATACCTTGCTCTACTCCTACTATACTGGAACAAGTGCTCACACACATAGAAAGTTCTGCTATGATTTGCAATGTCCAGGTGAACAACAACAAATTAACCTTTCACTTACAATTTTTTAATTTGCTATAGTACACATGTGCTCACCAGAAAGAAACAGAGAGAGAGCAAGGTTTGGGAAAGAGAGAAATTGAGAAAGCAAGCTGTCAGGTCTGAGACTCAAACTGCAGTTGGCTATGTGGGAGTCCAGCACCTTAACCACCAGGCCACCTGCTGGCCCCTTAACCTTTTACTTACATTAACCTTTTCACTTAATTGTTCTGTAAAAATCCAAAATGTTTGTCTTTGTATATGCCATGAAGTGAAAAAAGGCTGCAAGGTTGGCTCAGAGCACAAGCATCAGGAAAGACTGCAAATTTAGATGCAGGATGAAACTGGATGTATGTACAAAGAGTGACCGGGGGGGTGGGGGACAAGAGAGAAAATAGGAAAGCACCCCTACCCATGATGGATGGTCATGTTGTAATCCCTTCTCCTTTATTTCTCTCTCCTTTCAGGATTTTGGATACACATTCACACTGTCTGGATCCAGGACTCGAATGCATAGTTGGCTACGTGGGATCTAGTTGTATTAACCACCACGCTGACTACTGGGCCAAATTTGGCTTTTATTGTTCCAATATAAGAACAAATGTTTATTCTTCCCTTGCCGAGCAGCTTGTTATCTACACTATTCTCCACTTTGAAACATTTTTGAAAACCTTCCTTTTACAGTTACTCCCTCTGACAACTGCTTTCCTTTAAAAAAAGAAATCTAGGACTAGCACCATAGCCTAGTAGTTAAGGGAACCAGATCCTACATAGCCAACTGTGAATCTGAATCTTTGTCCCAGCATCTTGAAAAAGATGCCAGGCACGTGTACATACGTGTCCCAAATCCAAACAGGGTAGAAAAATGGAAGAGAAGGGATTATGGCATGACTGAACCCCATTCAAGGGATTTTCTCTTCCTCTCCTGTCTCTCTATCTCTCTTTGGGAAGTGTACACATACTCTGGCAAAACTAAAAAAAAAAAATTAAACCTGGTTCCACTCTGTCCTATAACCTCCAAGTGTTCCATAGTGGTGCAATCAGTGACAAACTCTCCAAGAGTCACCCCTCCCACACTGTGACAATGCTCATTTCAACTGCAGTGTTTCTCCTAAATGAGTGCAGGGCCCAAGTGGAACATAGGTAAGCATTATTTGCCCCATGTCCTTCTCCTAGTTCAATGCCTCACTTACAAAGGCAGGGGGGTGGGATAAGAGGAATCCGAGGACAGAAAATTTCAGAATGGGTTCACAGATCTTGTCATCAGATTTTTTTTTTTTTTTTTGCCCATTTGCTATAGGGCACATGCACTCGCTGGAAAGACAGAGAGAGACAGACAAAGAAAGTGAGAAATAACTGCCCCCTCGGCGGATGGTCATGCCGCAATCCCCTCTCTTCCATTCTCCTCTCAGGATCTTGAGTACACATGCACACGCGCCTGGCATGAGTTTAAGCCACCAGGTCCAGGACTCAAACCACAGTCGACTACATGGGAGTCCAGCAACATAATCATTACGCTATCTGCTGGTCCCCTTGCCATCAGATTTTAAGTAGAGAATTTCCAGGGCCCAATATGATAGGTTGCTACAGACAGAGGCCAATTGTGCATGGCTATGGCCTAGGTCACAAAGTCATGAGAAGCCCCAAACCCTCTGACAAGTGGAAGAACAGTGCCTATAAGTCTCTTTGTTCTCCAGTGCACCAGAGATAAGAAAGTGCAAGGCAAGAAGGGCAGGGGGAAAAATAGAAGCCTGGATGAGGGAATGCACAGTATCTATGCTCCTAGAAAGATGGTTTGCTAAGCGATGGGAAATGAAACACGTTCTGGCAGGGCCAGGAGCCAGAATTATTTTCTGTGAACCACTGCTGGGCCAGCATAGCTCCACACCTTTGTAGCCCTAGCAACACACTCAGCTGGCCAGCACTGCAGTTGTACCTGTGAGGACCAGGTGGAAAATAGAAACTAACCCTTACACAGGAAGAAGTGCAGTCAAATCCTATCTAATAATAAGTACACTCACCTTGATCCCATTAAAATTGTCAACAGCCAGAATCGTGCTCCTCTGGTCTTCATAGCACAGGAAACAGAATCCTTTGGATTTCCCAGTCTTTTTGTCCCGTACAAGGTTAATGTTAACAACCTCACCATATCTATTAATTTCATAAAAGAAGGAAACACTATTGACTTAAAATGCCAATACTTTAAGATTGGATGATAAAACAAAATTCAAATAATACAGTCTATATGGAAGATACATCTAAAACAGATAACCTAGAAAGGTCAAAAATAAAAAGATAGCTAGGAACCAGCAGTAAGCGTAATGGCTATGTCGCTGGACTCCCACGTAGTCGACCGCGGTTCACGTCCTGGACCTGGTGGCTTAAAAACTCACACCGGGCGTGTGTGTGTGCGTGCCCTGGATCGGATCCCAAGAGGAGAATGGAGGAGAGGGGATTGCGGCGTGACCATCCCCCCTGGGGGGTGATTTCTCACTTTCTGTCTCTCTGTCTCTCTCCGTCTGTCTGGCGAGCGCACACACCCTATAGCAAAAACCTCTCCAAAAAAAAAGAATAAAAAAAAAATTAAAAAAAATAAAAAGATAGCCAAGGTTATAGCAGGAACATTAATTTAAAAAATTGGTGGCAATATCAAGATCAAAGACAAACTCAAGGCCAAAATAAAAACATTAAATGGGGTTAAGAGGGTTATTTTATAGGTCTAATATATAACAAAGGTATAAGTCATAAAACCTAATGGACCAACTAAGAAATCAAATGTATTTTTTTAATTTGCTACAGGGCACATGTACTCACCACAGAGCAACAGAACAAAAGAGAGCATCCCTCAAGGGAATGGCCACACTACAATTCCTTATCTTCCATTCTCCTCTTGGGATTTGGGGCATACAATGCACCTGATATGTTTTTCAAGCTACCAAGTCCAGGACTCAAACGGTGTGGTCAACTATGTAGGATCCAGACACCTTAACTACCACACTGCTGGCTTGCCCAAGTAATCAAAATTTTTAATTGGACCAGCCCCACAGCCTCGAAGAGCTGGATCCCATATGGCTGACCATGTGGCTCAAATTCCACCCCTGGGGGGCCAGCAGATGACATAGCAGTTATGTCACTGGACTCCGACATGGCCAGCTGTAGTCCGAGTCTCAGACCCGGTGGCTTGAAAATCACACCAGACACATGTATGTGCGTGCCCAAGATCCCAGGAGTAGAATGGAGAAGGGACTGTGGCATGGCCATCCCCTCTGGGGACTAATTTTTCACTTTTCCTCTGTTTCTGTGTCTCTTTCTCTGGTGAGTACATGTGCCTAAGGCAAAATGTCTTTAAAAAAAATTCAAACCCTGGCAGCTTGAAAAATATGCCAGGAACATGTGTGTGCATGCCCCAAGTCCTGACAAGACAGAAAAATGGAGAAGGAATTGCAGTATTATCAAACTCCATTGGGGGTGTATTTTCTCACTCTCCCTTTCTCTCTGTGTCTCTCTGGTAAGTATACATGCTCTCTAGCAAAATAGTAAGAAATTTCTTTTTAAAATCTTTTTAATTAAGGGACCAGCAGTTGGCATAATGGCTATGTCACTGGACTCCCATGTAATTAACTGCAGTTCAAGTCCTGAACCTGGTGGTTTAAACTCATGCTGGGCGTGTGTGCATGCATGCCCAAGATCCCAAGAGTAGAATGGAGGAGAAGGGATTGTGGCATGGCCATCCGCCTGGTGGGTTATTTCTCACTATCTGTCTCTGTCTCTCTCTGTCTTTCTGGCAAGTGTACACACCCTACAGCAAAAATATCTCTCTCAAAAAAAAAAAAAAGCTGTTAGAAATGATGTAGTGGTTAAGGCACTGGACTCCCACATGGCCGACCATGGTTCGAGTCCCAGAGCTAGCATCTTGCTTTCTCACTTTCCTTCTCTCTCTCTGTCAAAATTAAAAATAATAATAACAATAAATAAAATTAAATAATTCTTTTTAAAAAACTATAAAAAACACAAAAAGAAACTAATGGAAGATTTAAACATATCACTTAAAAGTTTATAACCTACAAAGTTGGAAGAAATTTGGTAAGATCTGAGATATTACTATAAAAGTATATCATAGAAATACAAATAAATATAATTAATATAACAATCACATTAACAAATATTAATGCTGGACCAATACGTGTGTACATATATGTATATATACACACACGCATACATGCTATACACTTACATAAAACCATCCTCAGGAAAATCTGTAACCTTAAAGAATTTTATTGTTAAAAAAGAATGAATGAATATAAAAGAAGAAAACAACATAATGAAAGCGGATGGGAGTTAATAAAGATAGAAGCCGACCACAGCTTAAGTCCCAGACCTGGTGGCTTGCTTTCTCACTTTCCCTCTCTCTCTCACTCTGTCCCTCTCTGGTCAAATTAAAAATAAATAAATAAAGTTAAATAAAATAATTTTTAGAAAACTATAACAATTAAATAAACTAACAGGATACAAAGCTAAAAATCAATCACCTTATAAACAATAGTCAATTATAAGACATAGGGGAAGAGAACTCCTATTTATAACAGCAACAAATAATATAAAATACTCAGAACTACACTTAACAAGCAGTATAGAAAGCCTATATAATGAAAACTTTTTAAAAAACTCCTAAAAGATACAAACATAAACTTGAACAAATATAAAGACATAAAATGCATTATGGAAACAAACTACTCTGTAGAATCCAAAGGCAGGAAATGAAAGGGGACGTACTGTGAGAACACACAGATGATGTCTCCTTCAGTCAGTTCATAAGGAAGCCCTCCTAGAAGAGAAAAGTACATTTTAATTCAACATTTACCAAGTGTCTAATTCAATCCATGCACTAGGCCAGGCACTGGGAACACAAAGAGTAAGCCATAGCCCTTGCCCTTGAAGAAATTACAGTCTGATGTAATGACAGGATTGCATTACAAGGTACTTCTTTTTCCTTTCTTTTTTTTTTTTTGAGAGGTTTTTGCTATAGGGTGCGTGTGCTCGCCAGAAAGACAGAGAGAGACAGAGAGACAGAAAGCAAGAAATCACCCTCCGGGGGGATGGCCACGCCGTAATCCCTTCTCCTCCATTCTCCTCTCGGGATCTTGGACATGCACGCACATGCGCACGGTGTGAGTTTAAGCCACCGGGTCCGGGACTCGAACCGCAGTTGACTACATGGAAGTTCAGCAAGATAGCCATTACACTAACTGCTGGTCCCAACAAGGTACTTCTTTTTTTGTTCTACCAGTACAAATGTGATCACTCAGTCCCCCTCACACCCAAAGTGCTATGGAGAAAGCAAACAGTTTCCATCACAAAATTTTCTATCACAAAAATATCTTGACTCGGGACCAGCAGTTAGTGTAATGGCTATGTTGCTGGACTACCATGTAGTTGACCACGGTTCGTGTCCCAGACTCGGTGGCTTAAATTCACGCAGGGTGCGTGTGCATGTGTGCCCAAGATCCAGAGAGGAGAATAGAGGAGAAGGGATTGTGGCGTGGCAATCCCTCCTGGGGAGTGATTTCTCACTTTCTGTCTCTGTCTGTCTGCCAAGCGTGTGTGCCCTATAGCAAAAAAACTCTTAAAAAAATACATATATCTTGGGACCAGCAGTTAGCATAATGGCTATGTCGCTGGACTCCCACGTAGTCGACCGCAGTTTGGGTCCCAGACCCGGTGGCTTAAACTCACGCCGGGCGCGTGTGCGTGCGTGCCCAAGATCCCGAGAGGAGAATGGAAGAGAAGGGATTGCGGCGTGGCCATCCCCCCTGGGGGGTGATTTCCTGCTTTCTATCTCTCTGTCTCTCGTTGTCTGTCTGGTGAGCGCACATGCCCTATAGCAAAAACCTCTCCAAAAAAAAAAATATACATATATCTTGACTTCATCTGCCATTAGCCACCAACTCACAGCTGTGATCCGAAATCAGTTTAAATATGCCATTATTAAACTCACCTCCACATAGACTAAAGATTATACAGACAACGGTTAAACACTTCATGGGAAATAAGTTCCCCTCCAAATGTTTCTTTCCTCATCTGTAAAATGGGGACATTAGTATTTACTTTACAGGACTGTGATTAAGAATTAAATGAAACAATGAACATAAAGTGCTTGTCACAATGTCTGGTGCAATAGTCTCTTTGAAGAATCAAACTATAAAATGACTAACACAAAGTGAATACAGGGATGATAGCACAGCCATGGACAAAAGGCAGGAGCTAATTAGGGGAGGAAAATGAATTCTGAGGGAAGGAGACCAAGGCTGGTTAGCAGTGATACCAGTGTGCAAAACCATGAGTTCTAGAATCCCACGGTTGTGGCTGTGGCACTTAGTAGCTATGAGACCTTAAGGAAATCTGA